AGGCGCCCGCCACCTCGCCCGGCTTAGTTTTTTGTATTTTTAGTAGAGACGGGGTTTCACCGTGTTAGCCAGGATGGTCTCGATCTCCTGACCTCGTGATCCGCCCGTCTCGGCCTCCCAAAGTGCTGGGATTACAGGCTTGAGCCACCGCGCCCGGCCAGACTCCAAGTTCTTTAGCCTTGCGACTCAGACTGGCTTCCTTGCTCCTCAGCTTGCAGACAGCCTAACGCAGGACCTTGTGATAGTGCAAGTTAGTACTACTTAATAAACTCCTATATATGTACACACACACACACACATATATATATATATTTATATATACTATTAGTTCTGTCCCTCTAGAGAACCCTGACTAATACACATGGCTCCATTTGGTAAAATAGTGAAAGTTATTATCCCTAATAAGGAACATTTGAGACATCATCACAGATGCAGAATCAACTCAGGTATGAGAGTTGAAAGAGCAGAATGGATAGAACAAGGCTACTGTTGGCAAAGGGTAAAATCAGTTGATTCAAGAGACCTTGTCATGCAGAATTGATGTGAACTGTTTTTAATGTCATTTATTTGTTTATTCTTGTGCTGAGTATTCATACTTTAATACTTGAAAACATTTATGTCTCAAGTATTTATCTTTGGACAATGTATTCTGCTTTCAAATCTATCCCTTTCTCTTTTTTTTGAGACAGGGCCGCTCTGTCGCTCAGGCTAGAGTGCAGTGGCGTGATGACAACTCACTGCAGCCTTGTCCTCCTAAGCTTAAGCGATCCTCCCACCTCAGCCTCCCTAGTACCTGGGACTACAGGTGCACCCCCCCACGCCTGGCTATTTTTTTTATTTTTACTTTTTATAGAGATGGCTTTTCACTTTGTTGCCCAGACTGTTTGTCTTGGCATCCTAATGTGCTGACATTATAGGCGTAAGTCACCATGCCCAGCCTGCTTTCAAGTCTATTCTGCTTTCAAAGTTGAAAATTCCCTAATTCCCCTGTGAAAATGAAAACATGGTGTAGTGGAAAACTTCAAAGATCTGGGGTCAAATCTTGACTGTCACTTTCTCACCATGTGACCTCGGGCAAACTGTTTACCTTCCCTGAATTTATTTTATTTTATTCTATTTTTTATTTGATTTGATTTGATTTGATTTGATTATTTTGAGAGAGTCTCACTCTGTTGCCTGGGCTGGAGTGCAGTGGCATGGCGACAGTTGACGGCAGCCTTGACCTCCTCGGCTCAAGTGATCCTCCCGCCTCAGCCTTCCAAGTACCTGGGGTTACAAGCATGTGCCACCATTCCCCACTAATTTTTGTATTTGTTGTAGAGAAGGTTTTTCCCATGTTGCCCAGGCTGGTTTTGAAATCCTGGGCTCAAGCGATCTCCCCACCTCAGCCTCACAAAGTGCTGAGATTACAGGAATGAGCCACCATGCCTGGCCACTTAACCTCATTTTTAAAATAAGTATAATAATCCCTTCCTTGTTCATAGAACTAAGTGAAATATTTGTAGGCAACATAGCAAAGAAGAGGCACTCAACAGATAGTAGCTACTATTGTATGTGTTAGATTATGATCTGAAAACTTCCTTTCATGTTCTGAATTCCACGAAATTTGTAAAAATGAGCTATTAGTATGTTTTTCAAATTGTATAGACAGAAAAAAAGGGTTCCATTGTCAAATAAGTTTGTGAAATGCCACATGCCATCCCCCTTTTCCCTTGGTAAACAAAAGTTCATTTAAACATAATTAATTGTGTTGAAAACCCCCAAAGTAAAAATAAAATGTTTAGCTTTATGGAACCAAGGGTCTTTTAACTTACTTGATTATAGAAACATTTCTTCCTAGAAGATATATTAACATCCTAAGAACTTTCTTGTATTCCACTTAAAGAAATAGCAAGTGTGTGGCCGGGTGTGGTGGCACATACCTGTAATCCCAGAACTTTAGGAGGCCGAGATGGGCGGATCACCTGAGGTCAGAAGATCGAGACCAGCCTGGACAACATGGCAAAACTCCGTCTCTACTAAAAATACAAAAATTAGCTGGGCATGGTGGCACATGCCTGTAATTCCAGCTACTCAGGTGGCTGAGGGAGGAGAATTGCTTGAACCCAGGAGGCAGAGGTTGCAGTGAGCCGAGATCACACTACTGCACTCCAGCCTGGGTGACAGAGCGAGACTCTGTCTCAAAAATAAAGAAATAAAAATGAAAGAGAAATAGCAAGTTTGTGACTGTTAAAATGCCAGAATATAAAGAAATCTTCAATATTAAAAAAACTGAATAATCTGTGATACCTGGATACAAAAATTAAGGCTTATTTGATTTTGAACAGCAGCAAGACAAGGCAAGATAAATGAGGAATACAGTGAAAGTGAAAGATAACTGAGTAGGGCCAAGATTTGGCATTATAATCACTTTCAGTTGTTTAGTGTTTTAATGACTTAATTCCAAACTGCCTTTGGAACTAAGGGTATTCAGGATCTTGTTGAAATTCTTAGTGCAGTTTTTTTTTTCCCTGATGAAGGGAGACACAGTATATCAGTATAGACCTACGATTCTGGTTGTACTCCTAAAAAGTCAAGATGAAATAAGGTAAAACATTTGGAGGAAGACTGTGAGGGTATTGCAAAACTCACAATATTTGAATTCTTACATTTTAGGAAGAACATCAAATTTGTTTTTTTTTTTCAATGGCCATAAATAGTGCTGGAGTTTTCTTAACACTTTTATTTATGTATGTATTCACTTCCTTTGTTAAGCTAGCAATTCTGTGTCATTTCCTACTGTTCTATTGGGATGTCACCTGTAGTCCTAGGAGACAGAAAAGGGACTGCGGGACTAAAGGATTGGGTTTTTTTAATTACTTTGAAAGCAAAATAAGCAGAAAACATGGAAGTTGTTACTTCTGTTTTATTTTATGAGTGTCCACTTTATCTTTTTAAGTAGCAAAACATTTTATTTTAAAGCATTCATTTTAAAAAGTTGAATATTAATCACAGACAAGTTGTGAGGAATATTGTGAATTGTAATTTATCGATGATCTAGCTGCCGTTGCTTTCAGATTTGTCTCCATATCCATATGAAAAATAACATTTCACAGTTATTGCAGTTAAATATAGCCAAGTCTCAGAACAGTTTCTAAAGTTGAATAAAGATAGGCATTTAAATCATCTGATATTTACTGTCCAAATCTGGCCTTTTCAGTTATCACAGTACTTAGAATTTTCAGGTAAACTTTTTTTGCTCATTCTATTGACTCTTGTTAACATTTATAGTGAAAGACAAACATTTCACCTATCCGGATAAAATATATTCCGCTTCCTGAATTGTTAACATTTAGAATAAAGGCCACCTTGTTTTGATCCCCATTACTACTTTCAAATTGCATTATACAATAAAATGCAAATGTGAGTTATTAATTAACAGGATCTGTTTTGTCCAAATGTGCAACAGTAGAGGGATTTTTCAACATTCTGCAGCTGTTACCTATGAAGGAAACACCATTCACTTTACTAAAAGGAGCTGCACAAGTACATATGTTGTTATAGACAAAAATTTAGTGTTTCCTTAAGCAGTGCTATTTCATAATGGATTTCACATTGAATATGATAAATGTTACCAATGCTGCCTAATTTCTGTCTCTAGGTTGTTTTTAAAAGAGAGGATGATTAAAGTTTTCAAGGCAATGTGGAGTGAAGGTAGAGAAAGAGTTCTTCATGAAAGACACAATGTTTAGCAAGGTCATAAAGAAATATGCCCATATATGCATATCTATTTAAATGTTCATTTACATGTTGTATGTGCATCTCTGTATACATGTTGTGCCTGGCCAACATTCCTGTGAATATAACCTGAAGGAAGTACCATAAAATGACAAAATAAGAAAAACAATAAAACATACATATGAATGACTACGATAGACGGTATAGAAGGTAGGCCATTATTCACAAATAATGCAATAAATCCTTTGCCCATCAAATGTTTTTACCTAGATTTGGGGCCTTTAAAACATCAACCAATTATGGTAAATGTTTAACTGTAGGAGTTCAGGCAGACAGCCAAATTCTGGTTTCAAAGCTGTTGCTAGTTTTAGCTTAAAGTTTTTTTTTTTTTTTCATTTTTAAGCAAGAACATTTCTGGATACCAGTTGTGCTCTATTGTGGCTAGAGCCGCTGGAATTTGAATAAGTGAATTGGGCAGCACATTGGTCCTGAAGAAATGAGCCTGGCAGTATTACCTGAACGTGGCAAATAGTAGGCTACCAAGAGTCCTAGGGAAATACTTCCCATTTATAACTTAGCTCTACTTACCTAAAGCTAGTTTATTCCCACAGACGCGAAGAGTGAGTTGTTTTTCTTAGCCAAGCTCCTACAAAAAAACAGCAAGGTTGGGGGATGGGAGCACATGGAATGTTTATGCCTTTTGTTTAGGAAAGCCAGGTGTCTGAAATACATACATGATAGCCAACTCCTCTGCTCCCCTCCCCCAGGTTTACTTATTTTCTTAACAAGCTTATTGACGAAATTATCAATCTGCATGTAACTGTTTTGAACATTGGCCCTTCCTTGGAATATCCCTACCCTCTTGTTGAAGCACTAACAAATAGGTAGAAGAAGGGGCCCAGACAATCCACACGTTGGATTTGCAGCCACTAGGATATTTCAGAGTCAGCTGCTAAAGCCTCTTTGGTATAGACAATGAGGGGGCGACTGAAGTGACTTTTCTTAGTCCATTTCCTCTCCTTCTCTCCGTCTCCCCAAGGTATTCCGTGGGTCCCTTCCCTTTCCCTCTTCACAGTCCCTCCAGAGCAGTCCCAAAGCTTCAAACCTTGTTCTCCAACCCCCTTTCCCTAATGTCTCCCAACTACCACCCCCTTCCCCAATCAAACTCCCCTCCCGGTCACCACCAAAGCCCGGAGAAGTGGAACGCACACAATGCCTCCCTTATAGGGCTTGAGCTGGGAACTGAGCATGCTCAGTAGCCAAAGTAGATTTTTTTTTTTTTTTTTCTTTTGGTCGCAAGTGCGGCATCTCTCTCAGTCCCACGCCTCTCTTTCCTCAACCCCTATCCCCTATCCCCTGTCCCCACCCCCACCTCCCAAATCATCCGGCTTAACCCGTTCCGCACCAAAGGCCCACGGAGTTCTAAGGTGCGGATAATTAACCCGACTCCTTCTAACCCAGCTAAATAGTCTCACTTTAGGCTAAAGCCTCACACTTTCGCCTTAAAGCCCCCGGCCCCTTACGCGCAGACAGGTAGGGGGAGTGCGAATACTACTGGATCCTAGGAAACTGGTTCCCAAGAAGGCTCCTTCCAGGATCGACCGCTACGGAGAAGTATTCCAGGAGCCCTCTGTTCTGCGGGGTGACAATTAGCCAAAGGTACCGTACTCGTGATACAAAATCCAAGTATGATTGTTGCATTTGAATGTCATTGTTGTTGACTCATTCCTCTCCATCCTGTAATTATTCAATTCCGCGTAGGCTCGACGACCCTATCGATCTCCCTCGGCCCCCCTCCCCCAGGCTCTCCAGTGTTTCTTGGCTTTTCCTGGCTTCTTGGTTGGTCTCTCAAAGGAATGCCCCGTGTGTGTGTGTGTGTGTGTGTGTGTGTGTGTGTGTGCCTTCGTTATTAGGGGACTGGAAGAGAAGAAAAAGGCTCGAGTGTGTGTGTGTATGTGGTGGGGGGATGAAGGCAAGCGCGCCCTTGTTAGAGGACTGGGGTCTCCACGCCTGAGGAAAGGGGTCGCTCCTCCCTAGGGAATGTTTTAGGCAAAAAGAGGGGGCGGATACCGGGAGGAAAGCGCGCTGTCTTTCTGGGTGTGTGGGTAGAAGAGGAATCAAATGGGCATGTCTGGGTGGGGGACGGGGGTAGGAGCTCAGGAATGTGAGGGGGTCGAAGTGGTCGAGTGTTGGGAGGGAGGACTGCTTGTGTGCGGGGTGAGGGGGGAGTGGAGAGCGGGGGCGGGGATTCAGCGCGTGTATGTAAAGGTGCAGCCCGTGTGCTAGGCTCTGGGTGCGCGCGCGGTGTCTGCTCGGGTGCGCGCGCGCGCCGCTGCCCGCCTGCCCGCCTGCTGGGGCTGCTCGGCGGGTTTGACGGGCGAGCGGGCGCGAAGGAGCTCTGTCCGGAATCACATAGAGACCATCGTGGAAACCGCAGCGCAGGTCGCGGCGCCGCGGGCCCTGCACGAGACGCTGGGCTCTAGAGGTGGGTGAATTTCCAGCGAGAGCTGCACAAGCTGCACCGACACGCGCTCTGCCTCTTCCCCGCTCAGCTCAGTAGCGCGTGTGCGTGCGTGTGTGTGTGTGTGTGTGTGTGTGTGTGAGAGAGAGAGAGAGAGAGAGACAGAGAGAGGGAGAGATCGCGCGCGCACGCGCGCGGAGGGGGCAAGTAGCTTATTATTTTTAGTTTGAGTCCTGTTCGTTTGGGGCCGGTTGAGTGGCCAAAGTGGCCGAGGTGGCTAATCCTGCCCTCCACCTCCCACTTGCCTGCCTACGGCGCGGTCGCATGCCGCTGAGGACCGGAAAGGATCCGGGTGTCCTTGGCATCGCTGTCCCCCCCATACCCCGGGCGACCAGGGCGGCGGGGCAAGTGTACTGGTCTCGGGTGGCTCCGGCTGTCGGGCCGCTGGGCTGGGTTCGGCTATATTTTTACGCCCCACTCGCAGCCACTTTCCGCAGACGTGGATCTGAGGCTCGGGGCAGTGGCCCGCGGGCTAGTCGGAGATTGGTAGCGCTCGGCAAGACTAGGAATACCAGAGGAAGAGCCGGTGGGTAACTCTAAAAGCTCTGCAAAGCCAGGCGAGCGCTGCTAGCGCGACTTTGCAAGGTGCCTAAATGTTGAGCTGATTTTTGGCATGGTGAGAACGGGATTTATGTAGCTGGCCGGGGAGGGAGCACAGGCAAGGGGGAGCCTGGGCCGCCGCTCGCAGCCACAAAACCACAGGGTCCCTCTGCCCGTGGCAAGCAGGTCAGTAACACCCTAGTGCCAACGTCTTCCAGACGGCCTGATCTGGCCATCTCTTCGTCCTCACCCACCGCACGCCTGGGTCTAGAGAGGTCCACTGAAACTCCAGCAGCTGCCCCTTGTGGGACGGGAGCGCGTGGAGAAATGTGTGAGCAGCGGGACTGAAGGCCCCCGCGACATCCCGCGCGGTACCCCGCCTCCGCTGCACGGCCCGCCAGGCTGCTGCTCTGGCCCCTGACGCGGAGGGGGCTGCGCGCCGGCTCCGGGAACAGGGATGCGGCAAACATTGCGGTACGCGCCAGGGGCCCCTCCAGCCTCCTCGCCGCCCGTCCGAGGTAGCGCACCCGGGGCGGCAATGGCCGGGTCTCTCTGCGAACCTCTACCACCTCCATCCAAGCCTTAGGCGGGCCAGCGGGGTTTCCCGAGTGAGCTCTCCGGGAGCCACCTCGGCCCACCGCCCTGCAGCCCATCAGTGGTCTGCCCTCCTCAGGCCGCCTCTCTCCTCCTAGTCGCGGACTGCCAGGCGCTGCACTCTGGTGGATGCAGGATTTGGTTTTGGTAGGGCTAGATTTGTTCAGTCCTGGTGGGTCCTGGGAGCCAAGGGTCTTTCAGGGCACGGAGAGGAAGACGGAGAGACCGAGAGGGAGACGGACAGCTCCCAGCAGCCACAGAGAAGGCTCTTGGTACCCAACTGGTACTTTGTGGGCTTTTTCTTTTCTTTTTTGCGTTTTTCCCTTGATGTTTAAATGTGCATGTTTCGGTGGTACCACGCGAGTGTGAGGCTTTATTCGCATGCATTCAGTGCCCCCTTTACCCTCTTCGTAGCTCCCCTCTCGGAGCTCTTTTTCTTCCTTTCTCCACATTTCCATGGTCTCTTGCCCTTTCAGTACCTCTTTTCCTCTCTCCTTGGTGGACCAACTGGACTCTTTCTCTCTCTTGCCTGCCCCTCCAGCTGCTTGTGGCTTCCTCTGTTTCACAAGAGCTGCATTTGGGAACTTCCTGGCTCGTCCTAGTGACTTTTCCCCCCTTGCTACTTAAAGTAGAAATTGCCAGGAGGAGGAGGGCAGCTTCTTATGCATTTTCAGATTTGTTGAGATTCCTGGTTCTTGTTGTTGTACTGAATTTGGATTATAAGGAATTTTTTTTTTTTTTTAATTTTCTGCGTTTGGTTTTTAGTTTGGTTGCTTTTGGGTTTCTTTGTTTTGAGGTGGGTGGGGTGGTGCTTTAGTAACAAGAAATGACTCAACTGAACCAAAATAGCTGTCGAAAACCACATTCATAACAAGGCAAAAAATATCAAGTGAAATTTTGATTTTACAATGAAAGTTGCTTTAGGTGATGTCATAGTTAAGAATTATGACTTCTTTTTTGCAATGCCAATCATGCTTTCATGGTGAATAGGGGAAATGCAAGTCTATATGGCAGCCAAATAGCATCTCAGCAGTGCTGGCTGTATTCTGAACCAAACTACTTAAAATGCAAATCCTCCTGGGTCATGGCTAATGGATTGTCTACCTTGAGACATGTTCAGTTTTACCACTAGCTGATTCCTCGTGGGCAAAATAAACAAAGGAGTTTCTGTGTGACACTTCTTTCTTTGCATCATTTCCTTGTTGTGTGTCCCTGGGTATTCTACGTATTTAATTAATATTTGGAGGTAACGATATTGAAATTACACCCAGCTTCCCATTCACTATGGAAAAGACTAACGTTGCTAAAATAGCATCAATAAAATGCACGCTGCTTGTGTTGTTTAATCTTTTCCAGGTAGCATTGTGTATATTTGTATATATATATGCAGGATTTAAGGACCCGAATACGATGGGTTATTTTGCTAAGCATTAAACTCTACCAACAAGTGATTCTTTATGTGTTTATAGTCAGGGACATGGGGTGGTAATATTAGGAAGGGCGGGTGGGTGTTTGGAAGTGATGATTTTAGGACGAAAAATGTGCTGTACTGAACATATTTGGTGCTGTAGAAAAAGCTACTCAAAGATTGTGATGTGTGAACCCCTCTTCCTCAGCAGTTGCAGTCTGTGGTCAAAGTAAAAGAGATAAGCAGTTAAGCCGAGGATCAGTCGGACCTGGGTTCAAAATCGTAAATAAAGGTGTGGGAGAAGGCCAGGGAGGCAAGAGAGCCAGTTCTCAAAGTGGAAAGGCTGCCTGGAGATTAGCTAAGCAATGCAGGAGTAAGCAGGTTACTCTGCTGCTTTCAGAGGCTCAAAGACAAAAGGCCTTTTGCTCCCTCTTTGGGAAATGACTGACAGGAAATTAGAGACTGTTTATTTACCAGAAAATAAAAGTTGGCCATCCCTTACTCAGTTGTTTTTCTAGAACTGCACAGATTCATCTGTGTCTTTGAAGGCAGCAGTGTACAGGAGTAAACTGATTGACAGAAATGAGCTTACCTATGGGGCTATAGCACAAGCAAATCTCTTCCCAGGTCACCGTCCCTTGGTCTTTTAACAGTCCCTGCTACAGCAGCCCAGTCCTCCCATTTCCATCCTCCAGTGAACTCTGGGCTCTAATATGTTTTGTATTCAGCCTCTCTATCTAGCTGAAGCTTAGAGAATAGATATCCACTAATCAAAATGGCTTTGTGGTGCAAACTCGATGGCATACTTGATGGTCTTGGTCATTTGAAGTGCAAATAGGAAGCTTAAGGCCTGTGTTCAAGGGCAGGGTTTGATGGTCCACGTGGAAAAAATATTTTCAGATTGTAAGATTTCAGCATGGTTAATAATATATTTTCCTATTGTTGGTTGCGTGTTCTGCACATGTGAATTTTGTATAAACCACAGGTATGGAAAATAAAATGGATGGCAGTTTTGGTGGTTATTATTGTTTGACTGAGTGAGAATATTTGGAGGTTTGGTTGCCTTAAAAATACAACTCTGGTAATTATAGCCATGTGTTCACTATGGTATGATTTAAATACAAGTAATTTTTCAAGTAATGACCATTGAAAAAATGTTTTCTTTTTATTTTTTAGATTATTTCTCTTTATTCAGAAGCATACAGTTGTTTGCTGATTGCAAGAAGATGTTTCTTTGGCTGTTTCTGATTTTGTCAGCCCTGATTTCTTCGACAAACGCAGATTCTGACATATCGGTGGAAATTTGCAATGTGTGTTCCTGCGTGTCAGTTGAGAATGTGCTCTATGTCAACTGTGAGAAGGTTTCAGTCTACAGACCAAATCAGCTGAAACCACCTTGGTCTAATTTTTATCACCTCAATTTCCAAAATAATTTTTTAAATATTCTGTATCCAAATACATTCTTGAATTTTTCACATGCAGTATCCCTGCATCTGGGAAATAATAAACTGCAGAACATTGAGGGAGGAGCCTTTCTTGGGCTCAGTGCATTAAAGCAGTTGCACTTGAACAACAATGAATTAAAGATTCTCCGAGCTGACACTTTCCTTGGCATAGAGAACTTGGAGTATCTCCAGGCTGACTACAATTTAATCAAGTATATTGAACGAGGAGCCTTCAATAAGCTCCACAAACTGAAAGTTCTCATTGTTAATGACAATCTGATTTCATTCCTTCCTGATAATATTTTCCGATTCGCATCTTTGACCCATCTGGATATACGAGGGAACAGAATCCAGAAGCTCCCTTATATCGGGGTTCTGGAACACATTGGCCGTGTCGTTGAATTGCAGCTGGAAGATAACCCTTGGAACTGTAGCTGTGATTTGTTGCCTTTAAAAGCTTGGCTGGAGAACATGCCATATAACATTTACATAGGAGAAGCTATCTGTGAAACTCCCAGTGACTTATATGGAAGGCTTTTAAAAGAAACCAACAAACAAGAACTATGCCCCATGGGCACTGGCAGTGATTTTGATGTGCGCATCCTGCCTCCATCTCAGCTGGAAAATGGCTACACCACTCCCAATGGTCACACCACCCAAACATCTTTACACAGATTAGTAACTAAACCACCAAAAACAACAAATCCTTCCAAGATCTCTGGAATCGTTGCAGGCAAAGCCCTCTCCAACCGCAATCTCAGTCAGATTGTGTCTTACCAAACAAGGGTGCCTCCTCTAACACCTTGCCCGGCACCTTGCTTCTGCAAAACACACCCTTCAGATTTGGGACTAAGTGTGAACTGCCAAGAGAAAAATATACAGTCTATGTCTGAATTGATACCGAAACCTTTAAATGCGAAGAAGCTGCACGTCAATGGCAATAGCATCAAGGATGTGGACGTGTCAGACTTCACTGACTTTGAAGGACTGGATTTGCTTCATTTAGGCAGCAATCAAATTACAGTGATTAAGGGAGACGTATTTCACAATCTCACTAATTTACGTAGGCTATATCTCAATGGCAATCAAATTGAAAGACTCTATCCTGAAATATTTTCAGGTCTTCATAACCTGCAGTATCTGTATTTGGAATACAATTTGATTAAGGAAATCTTAGCAGGCACCTTTGACTCCATGCCAAATTTGCAGTTACTGTACTTAAACAATAATCTCCTAAAGAGCCTGCCTGTTTACATTTTTTCCGGAGCACCCTTAGCTAGACTGAACCTGAGGAACAACAAATTCATGTACCTGCCTGTCAGTGGGGTCCTTGATCAGTTGCAATCTCTTACACAGATTGACTTGGAGGGCAACCCATGGGACTGTACTTGTGACTTGGTGGCATTAAAGCTGTGGGTGGAGAAGTTGAGCGACGGGATTGTTGTGAAAGAACTGAAATGTGAGACGCCTGTTCAGTTTGCCAACATCGAACTGAAGTCCCTCAAAAATGAAATCTTATGTCCCAAACTTTTAAATAAGCCGTCTGCACCATTCACAAGCCCTGCACCTGCCATTACATTCACCACTCCATTGGGTCCCATTCGAAGTCCTCCTGGTGGGCCAGTGCCTCTGTCTATTTTAATCTTAAGTATCTTAGTGGTCCTCATTTTAACTGTGTTTGTTGCTTTTTGCCTTCTTGTTTTTGTCCTGCGACGCAACAAGAAACCCACAGTGAAGCACGAAGGCCTGGGGAATCCTGAGTGTGGCTCCATGCAGCTGCAGCTAAGGAAGCATGACCACAAAACCAATAAAAAAGATGGACTGAGCACAGAAGCTTTCATTCCACAAACTATAGAACAGATGAGCAAGAGCCATACTTGTGGCTTGAAAGAGTCAGAAACTGGGTTCATGTTTTCAGATCCTCCAGGACAGAAAGTTGTTATGAGAAATGTAGCCGACAAGGAGAAAGATTTATTACATGTAGATACCAGGAAGAGACTGAGCACAATTGATGAGCTGGATGAATTATTCCCTAGCAGGGATTCCAATGTGTTTATTCAGAATTTTCTTGAAAGCAAAAAGGAGTATAATAGCATAGGTGTCAGTGGCTTTGAGATCCGCTATCCAGAAAAACAACCAGACAAAAAAAATAAGAAGTCACTGATAGGTGGCAACCACAGTAAAATTGTTGTGGAACAAAGGAAGAGCGAGTATTTTGAACTGAAGGCGAAACTGCAGAGTTCCCCTGACTACCTACAGGTCCTTGAGGAGCAAACAGCTTTGAACAAGATCTAGGTCATGTAATCTTACTTCATACAGAGGACATTTATTTAATGATGAAAGTGCCTTTTGTTGACTTATAACTTCCAAATACTATATTATCAATAGGCATAGAGGCAGGTGTTTCCAAGGGTGTCTCATTAACTGTAGCTGCAAAGATGTGTCAAGTAGAAGAGAATATGTTTAATAGATTTTACTACATAAAACCTATACTGTGGAGTCCTGTGGGGATACTGCAAACTCTATTGCCAAAGGGATGCTTTATACACTTAATACTGAATTTAACCACAAGAGGCAAATCTGTTTTGTATCCCAATGCAAAACCTTCGTCTCTTTGTGCTTTGTAAAGCAAACTCAAGAAAACTGGTACAGGTGTTTGTACCTCAGCTGGGTCCTTTATCTTGCACGTAGATTAAGTTGGTGGAACTGGAATAATCCTTTTGATTTGTGGCATTGTAACAACTCCGTGTAAAGATTATCTGAAAAGTAAAAAAACAAAAAAACAAAAAAAACAAACAAAAAAAAAGCATGCAAAGAGAGAACACTCGATAGTATTTGTAAATTGGTAACCTTTATGGCCTGCATCTTGAAACTGCTGGATTTATAATGTTAAATTGTGCAAATACTTGTTTAAAATATAACATGCATTACATAACTATAAAATAAATTTGAATACTTTAAGCATTACCTGTCTATACATAAAAATCTAAAAGAAAAAATCAACGTGAGTTAGATAGCATTTGTGATGATCTGAAGAAATATGTGATGTTTATCAGAATTAAACATGGCTCAAATTAAATTAACACTAGAGTTTGTTATCAGTTAGGTGAAATACCCACAATCCTTAAAGGTTGTCCAAAATAAGCAGAGTGCTTACTGTGTGAGCGCACCCAAAGCTATTTTTGTAACATAATTCATATTTATGAAGTACTTTGTATACTAAATAGAAAAATGTGTACTCCTTAATATGTATTTAATATGCCTGACTTGTTTTCCTGATCACAGTGAATTTACCAGTAAGTATAAATGTAGACAGAAAAAAATATACTAAACTGAAACAAGCTGATGTGTACAGAAATATTCTGGACTTTGTGATCAGGTGTAACTTAAAAACAAAAAAAAATTAAAAACAAAAAAAAGAAAAAAATACAAAAGAAAAGTTAACTCTGTGCTATTCTTGTGAATTTAGCATATTATCTTCAGATTTGTTACCAACTGTGCATTTAAAAATAAGTTCCTTAGTTTTCTAGTATTGTGTCTGGGGCAGTTGTTATTCGCCATCAGTTGTCTTGCTTTTCAGGATTCTGTGAGCTTCATTCAAACAGTTTTCGCTACAAGTATTTAAAAAATAATGAATAAGGTTAATAGTTATATCGTGTATGCATCAGTATCCTGTTCTTTCATCATTCAGACCACTATCAGATAATCTAGTAGAACTGTAAACACCATGGTAATCTTGGCTATGAAAGCCACACTGTAAAAATGCTTGCATTGGTTTCAGATGAGTTCACAATCTGCAACTACAAATGATACGCCCCTGTGTTTGCTTTTGCTAAGATCTAAGTCAAAATTTGTTTAAGGAATAAAGTAACTGAGAATGGGTGATTTCGGAACTTTTGTAGGAGCTCCCGATTAACAAAGTGATATTCAGAAACACATTGTCTTCTTGGCCTGCCTGCATATATATATATAGATATATAGATCTATATAGATATACATATATATGTGTGTGTGTGTATATATATGCGTGTGTATATATGTGTGTGTATATATATACATATATGTATGTGTGTGTATATATATATAGTGTGTACGTGTGAGAGAGTGTGTGTCCCATCTTTTTTAATTACCTTATAAATCAGTAAGATAACCAAGAAAGTAAACATAGCCATTCCTCATGATTGCAAGTGGCATATTTTTTTGTTGCAGCTTCCAAAATGATATTATGTTTATAGTTGCAGTAGCTGTTCCTTTACTAATCACTAATTTCAGGGCTTTATGTGTTTGTTGCAAGACAAAAAAAAAAGAAGCTTGGCTTTCTTGGGTGTGTGTGTATGCGTGTGTGTGAGTGTGTGTATATATATGTGGGTATATATTCATACGTATAGATAATTTGGAAATCTTTTTTAAATAGCAAAAAACGTCTCCATGTGTATGTGCTGGTGCTCTTAAAACTTTAGTGTGTAATTTTAATTTTTATGATGTCTGTGAAAACTTTACATGAATATAAAATAATTCAAACAAATAATTGCTTTCTGATCTTGAAAGAAAAGACGAGATGTGTGCCCAACAGCTTTTTTCATCCACAGTTTCATAAGGACTTTTGATATGCCATTACCATGCATGCACACACCCACGGATTAAAGGGCTCCTAATGTATACTGACAGGATAAAGATACAAAGGCTTCAAAGAAAGTGTTTTAGTTTAGTCTGTCAATAAAGTATGGCTTGAGGGATCTTAAATAGACACTTATAGGAGGAATCAGAAAGTTCCACTCATGATCTGGGGATAATAGGTCATTTAAATGATACCTTTTATTCAGTGTGGTGATGTTTTGAAGATGTTTCAAGGTTTCTGCAGAATTCTCAATGGCAAGAGTACCTGCCACCATCTCAAAAGCTTGCTGTAGCATATTGGCTATCTCATACTCTTCTGCTAAAAGGTATAAATGTTCAACTTTTTTTAAAAAAGTAATTTAACGTACGTGGTTATTTGGAGGTTCAAATTGTAAATGAAAGTAACAAATTCTTGGTTAAGGCTAATATATTTTCCTTAACTGAAGTCATTGTGCCTACATTATATAGTGTATACAATTTTGCACCTGTCTTTCATTAGTTCTAGTTGTACCTTTTATGATAATGTAGTTAGGTATAAGTTCTGAGTTGAGTACAAGAACAGTTAAAATACTGTATCTACATTTTGTTGGCTTCAACTATAACCTTGATGTTAGTTTAACCCCTTGAGGTATGATATGTACATCAGTACAACATTTTCAGTGGAACTCGGATGCAAACCTATAAAATCCAAGAAGTGCTCATTTCTAATGTGGTCTGACACATCGTGGGCTTCTTGGCACTATGTTCATGTGTATGGACTATGTTAGAATGATTGCAAACAAATTTAGATCTTATGAAATCAGTGAAGGGGTTGAGATAACATATTGTGTCCATGTAATATAAATCAAGTTTTAAATTATTTTTTTATGAAATCAATAAAGATGATTCAATTCTTTAAGAGTAAGTCTTTGTGTAATTTTATGAGAAAGCAGCTATTAAAGTAGAGTGATTCAAGTCTATAAGGCAATTTATATTCTATATTTAGTTTTTCATTCTGAATAAACTGAAAAAATACATTAATTAGAAATTTATTTAAGACCATCTTTCTTTTGTTGCTTTTTTTAAACACTTACTTTTTTTTAAGCCATAAGGATGCATAAATTATACAGGACATGACCTTATGAGTACTATCAACAGGTATTTCAGAAATAACAGAACACATCTAGAAATGTATGGTGGTAATATTAATCTATAATATTTTTTGCATGATTTGTACGTTGACATTGTATGAAATGAGCACAGTGAGGTTTTTTTTGCTGTTATTGTCGCATCCAAAGAGTTGGAGAGAAACTATATTAAGAATGTATTTATATTCACTATTTTAAAATAAAGTAAAAAAAATTGTATTGTTTTTACCCTAATTTGATTATTAGTATTTTAGGTTAATTTGTAAGAGAAAAATCAAGTAATGCTGTAAAAGCTAATGTAAATCACAGAAAAGAACTGTTTTAATGACTTTTGTTTGCTTTTAATAACATCAAGGTATTAGAATTTATTAATTGCCATTTTTATGAAAGTATTAATAAAATTGTTTGCTACAATGATATTTCTGAAGCCACAGTTTGTTAAATATATTTGTCTTTCCATTATTTTTCAGAAAAAATAAAGCAGTAACCAAACTGATCATTTCACCCAGATTTGAGGGTAAGATATAGCTTTAGAATACTGTTTGTATTCAACTTAACTGCTAAATCTCTGTTTAAAAAAAAAAATGCTTTCTTTAGAAACATATTTTCAATCTGTGTTCCTTCCCACTGGCAGCCCCTTTGGAGAAGAGTCAGACAGTGCCAAGATCAACATGCTTTGATTCTTGCCCATTCTTTTGAATCAGTTGGATTCTGACATAACTTCAGATAAGCAAATCTTAACTATCTCAACAATCTTAACTATCTGCTCAAATACTTTTAGAAAACCTTCAGTACCTCTGTATTCCATTGCCAGTTTGCATGGTTACAGGTTAGTTACCCACTTATGGAGTGAATTGTGATTTGTATTTGGTTCTTTTAAAGACGACCAAAATTATCAATCCGTCACTTTACCAAAATTATTACTGTTGTGGAAAATGAACTAATTGCATTATGGTTAACCTGAGGGCAGAAAGGAATATAACTGACTATATTGCCCAATACAGTGGGTTTAAGGTTCATATATTTATGGTAAGACAAGTAAAGACAGAAACACAGAAAGAGAATATAAATTAAGATTGTTGTTGCTTTACACGTATACATAGGTATGCTGAAGGTGTGAACAGTATAGATAGCATATACAAGGACTTTTAGACTAAATGCCTTATGCATCTGAGGAGATACACTGCAGGATGTGTTATTTTATTTATTTATGAGTACTGAGCACAGAGCTTTGGGTTCCAGCCACTTCTGTTATGTAGACAAGTGGCATCAAATCAAGGTTTGGCATCATTTCTCGTGCTCTATCCAATTAGTCACTGTGGTCAGATGGGCTGAACTAAAATAAAATATCCTGTTTGTGGCTTCACTTACCGAGAATAACTGGTGACATATATCAAGTTCACCTGATAATTGTTAACTCTCAATTTCAGATTTCCTAAGGATCTGTTCTTTATTTAAAAGCAAATGGGAAGTCAAATGAATTTTAATAACTTACTTTGTACAAAACTGCCCTTAATCTAATTTTGAATTTTATTTTGTTTTATTTATTTATTTATTTAATGTCTTTTCAGTTTCTACTGGTTGATAGGATTGTGTTTGAAAAGGGGGAAATCGAGGAAGGGAAATTGTGTTGTTTTTCTTATATGAAATGACTTTTTTAAATTTTTAAAAAAATATTTTAACCTGTTGTTCTTATGTCTGCAGGGGGAAAATAAATTAGGGCTCTGAGGCATTTGAATATTTTAGACCAAATAATTGCTATTCAGAATAAAGATTCAAACTTCTCATTAATTCATAATTAACATTTCCACTGACAAGAGGACCCAGAACCAGGAAAGAATTACTCAACCCTCCACTTTAGTTTACTTTTGTAGACACTGCCTAAATAGAAATAGAAATTCTAGTGATTTCAGTAACATCAAAAATGACAAATTACCTGTTTAACTTAAAAAGGTCATGAATGAGGCCTTCAGAGAAATAATGTTAATAATATAATGAATAACCATAGGGCAGCGCCTTTAAATTAGCTATATGAAGGAAATAGTCTTTTTAAGTTCCTGAACAATATATTTCTCTTAGTTGGCACTTCACAAATACTAGGTCATGTCAGATGCTGCTGGTTAATAGCTGAAGGCAGGCATGTTGTGCAGTGGACATTGCTTATAGAAGTGTTTGAAAATCATAGTAAGCTTTGTTCTCCCTGCTAAAACTTGCTATGTATATTTCCATCATTGTTTCATGTAAACTGAACCATTGTGGTAAACTTTTGGAGTTGATATGGAGTAACTTTAATGCTGTTTTCACAAATAAAAGTTTTTTCTTATAGGTCACATTTGTAGCCATTCAGTGTGTTTATTAGTGTGAAATTAGTAAAGCTCAAGTTCAAAAAGAAATGCAAATAATCTGGTTTTTAGCTGATGCAATCATTATATTAGTTTACATGTCTAGGCCAGGTCTGCCTACACACATACACATGCGTACACATAAGAAAGATAGAGGGTAATATGTGCAAATAGTGAATTATGCACAAAGGGAATTGTCTAGTTAATGTAAACAAAATATTTCTACCTTGACCACCTAGATTTTTCAAATCCAAGTAGATTGGGACCTAAATGTTATTTGTCCTGTTTTTTTTTTTTTCCTACACTTGAAATTAAAACCTGACCACTTTGTCATATATAGTAGAAATTATGCCCAGTTTATCTCCCAAGATTTCTCTGGATTTCAGTTATGTTTGTTGTCTTCAGATTTTATTTTGATTTTCTTTGTTAACATTTTTCATCATCATCATCCCCAAATTATATGCTTAATAAATGTATAGTGCTGTGTACAATTTTCAGGCAACCAGCCCGCCCAGGTGCAAATCAATGCTGCTACTACCTTTCACAAACGTTATTCAGAGAACTGTACAGGGGCATTTAGATCCAAAATAATCCCAGGATGAGGATTGAATTAGAAATTATTGGAACAGGTATGGTTTTTTTTTCCCTTAAAGAAGGAAAAGTTGTTTGAAGATTATGACTAAAGAGCAGGATGAGAACAAAGGAGTATTAAGGGAAAAAATATTTATTTATCAGATAGAATTCAGAACTTAAATACTGAATAAAAGTATCGCAAAATAAGTCAAATTGTAGATTTCTTTCTCCTTATTATTTACCTCAGCTTTATTTCTTTTAAACAGATATGAAATCTAGGCTTTGTCAACACAATAGTAGTTTATGGTTTTTATAGAACCCACTGGTCAATTAAAACATTTAGTTACCTTTGCAACCCCTGTGGATTTTTTTTCCCTTGACTGACATCAAGGATTGACTGAATCTCAAAGCCTCCCGATACAGTTTTAGCTGTCAAAAAATGATAAGTAGCATTTGTGTTTAATGAGAATAAGAGGTGAAAAATGCATATCACAGAAAACCATCATGATAGGGAGCAAAATAAATGAGTACAAACATTTGTGCTCCCAGATACAAAAACTTGTGGTCAAAAAGCTGCTAGACCTTTTGGGTTGTTTTCAGAAATCTTATTTAAAAAAGAAAATATCAAGTGCCTATTTCAGAAGCTATTTCCTGTACGAATCTCCAGGAAGCCATGTATCTGCCATGGATCCCCTTGTTCCATGGCAGGATGTGTCACATTTGCCAAGTCCTCCCTGCTGGAAATTTTTCTCTTCTGCTGTTACAAACAACCAACACTGTCTATGGCATGGGCTAGCTTAGGGAGAATTGTTTTCACTGTTTTTTGGTAGTTAGTGGTAATACACGCAAAAAATCTAGGAGTCTCAATACAAGCGTATATTCACCTTTGTAATATTACCATACTAGAGAGCATTTGGGTCTTGTATGTTTTACACATTGCCTCTTTGTTTTTATTCATCAGTTATCCTCTAGCCCACAGAAGCTACTAGTTATTTTATTCATCCCTCTCTTTCAAAGTAGAAGCTAATCACCATCCTGAAATCTCAGTTATTTATAGAAATGATCATCACACTTCTACGTGCCCGTTTCCTTCTATAACTTCTAGAAATATAGAAAATTTAGTACAGTAAGTGATGGATTTAAAAGGAAGTTCTACTGACACACAAAAAAATCATGATATGAAGACAAGAGTGACTTACCAGAAAAAAACAACTTTAGGAAATCATTTCTTAAGTTTTAGATTTCCTTGCTTTGCAATTAGACTTCAGTGCCTTCACTTTTGAGCTGGACCCAATGAAATCAGTTTTCACTCTGGGGCCATGCAATGACTAGAAATGATATTGCTGACATGTGGGCAGGTTTGCCATGTGTTGCCATAAACATGGCTGCTATTTTCTCCTTGCACTTTCTACTTCAGAAAATATTCATTCTCTCAGATTTGGCACAGCTGCTGAAATGCTGCTGTATCAATTCTCACCATGAAAATTCAAAAAGAATTTTTTTTCTATATGTAACTAAGCAGTTACACAAAAATGCGTATTGGAAACTGGATAAAAACATCAGGATAAAGAAGATAACTAGTGTGTTCATAAGAAAAGAGGGTTTTAAGGAAGCGAAATGCAGGCATTTTATTAAAAATTACATCTACCACCTCCCTTTGAACTTGTCGACTTTTTGAAGACTCCAATGTATGCGTTATAAGGGGAATAGGACTCAGTTTACATGCAGCATTTTCACTCTCTGCTCATTCTTCTTGGTTGCCTAGCCTGTGCTGCAGTGTAGAACGTGTGAACAGTAACTTTGTTTTTAAATCCCAAATGCATATATGATTTCAATTGCTCATTTGAATATTAACACATTGGACGTGACCAGTTTCTAACGTAATATTTTTACTACAGCCAATTGAGGCTTCATTGAATGACCTTATTTCATCTGAAAGGTATCAGAGCAGGGGTAAACTAAGAGGCTGTTGGTCAGTTTCCATGTTTAAAGGCCATCACAGGAAAATTGAGTATTTGAGCATATGTACTCTGAATTTCCAAGTCAGATTATTTGGTCCTAATTTTCTTCTCTTTTGAAAGAGTAACTAACTAGGGCTAGCGAGGGGAAGTGACTTGCCCAAGGTCATAAAATTATTATGGCCAGTCTGGTCTAGGACCTGATTCTCCTCACTCACAGGACCATGTTATTTTCATTACACTGCTTTGTTTGGAAGTTCCGGAGAGGAAAATGAGCATCTGTGGGTGAGGCTTCAGGCAGACATTCCAATGCAGCATAAGGACGTTTTCTGTAAGGTTTTAGAACGCTCTATAACTGGAATGAACTAGATACAAAATACAGAGCTCTTAGTCCTTAGAAATGTTCAAGCTGAGGATGGTTCTAACAAGGAGGATGGATGTTATTCAAGAAAATTTATTTGAATGCGAGCTTGGACTAGGTGATCTTGGAGGACACTTGAAACTCTAGGACACTAAGGATTCTATAGTGTATACACTGTAATCATTTACCCAGAAAGTCAAAACTATCAAATATGTTTCATCCAGAATATTTAATTAATTGATCTTTGTAGTTTAATGACCAGCAGATGATCTCTACTAGTAGAAAAACAAATTAATAACCCCCCAAAATACCAGGTAGGTATTAGGCATCATGATAAAAGGGACATAGAGTGAAATCTCCCCCAGTATATAGTGTTTGTGTTTTAAGTGTCAGCATTTCAAAATGAACAGTCTCTGATGTTTAATTTTTTACAAAGGAAAAAGAAATTCTTTTGTACATTGCACTGAAGATGGCACTGTAGTAACAACCCCACACTGGAAATGCTGAGACATGCCGGTATATGTTATTTCAATCCTAAATTTCAATTTTGACACTATTTCTTGAGCTTGGCAAGTGGAACACAAAGGTTAATATCTTGTAACATCATCTTTGCTCATTGGAGTTGGGTGCATTTTTTTATAATTTACTCGCAATAAGATAGAACTGAACTTTATTCCAAAGAATTGCAATTCAGGTTGCAGCTCAACAGACTCTATTCAGAATAGAAACTGCAAATTATCCAACCAATAAAAAATTATTAGAAATATTTATTTGAATTTTCTTCCATAAAGATAGTTTTCTTTAAAAAAATAGTAAAGGAAAAATGAAACCATTCAGACCTCAAGGACTGTTTTGTTTGTTTATTTTTTGGGGATGTTATTAATTTTTAAAGATTGTGGGTACACCCAGGATGACTCTGAAATGCAGTTCCTAGGTTTTCTTTATTCCATCCATATCATTAACTAGAGCTCCATCAAATGTGGCTACCATGCAATTCCTGGTTCCTTTAATCACAAAGAGTATTCCCTCAGGTACCAGCAACTCATTCAAAATTAGCAGTTTTATACTTTGGAGTCATACTTCACTTTTAAATAGTCACAGTGTTAAACATACAAATAACCTCTGCCCAAGTAATTTTATGTTTTAGTAGAGAAGAATAGAAGCGAATAAAAATACTTACTTTGACTTGACACTGATGGGCAAGGCATGTTGACCCTTCCACCCTTCCCTCTCTCTTCATCTCACATGCCTTTGCATGATACCACTCTATCTGCCTGCTCCCTGTGCAGCCTCATAGCTCTTCACTCAAACGTTACTTCTTGGGACAGTGGCCTTATGCCCCCACCCTCACTAAAACTGTTTCTGTTTAACAATGTTTTTCTGAAAATTCACATTCGGATACCAGATTCACATGCTGCTAATTCACAGGCCCATCAAATATGTCAGTACTCTGAGACATTTTCCAGCGAGGACATCAAGGAGTGGAAGACGAGACCACGTTAGTCGAACAAATAATGGTGTTTCAGGCCTGGGACAAGCAGTGGACTAGGGGACCTCCTTGGTATGCTCCAGTTTTACCATGGGTAAATCTGGTACAGTTCAGACCAATAAGGAGAGAGACTGACTTCAACCTTCTCTCAGGAAGTTCCATCTGATGTCTCCTTAGTGGCTTTCATTCATTCCACATTATTCATATTAGAGTGGAAGGAGTGGGAGCCAGTTAGGTAAGGCTCTCTTGTGGAAATGATATTTAAATGAAAGTCTTGAAGGGTGAAGTTCATATTAATGACTGAGGAGTAGGGTTGAGGAGGGCCTCTGCGGTTGAGAGAACAACATGGGCTTTGACTCTGGTGTGGGAATTAACTCATTATGTTGTACTGGTCAGGTAGGCAGTGCCTAGGTCAAGGGTTGGCAAACTTTTTCTGAAATAATTTTCTGAAATAGCAAATATTTGAGGTTTTACAGACCATATTGTCTGTGCTTCGACTAGTTGACTGCTGTTGTCGCACAGAAGCAAACACAGACAACAGGTAAACAAATGGTTGTGACTGTGTGCCAATAAAACTTTGTCGTCCAAAATAAGCTGGGGGATGGAT